AATCAGTTCAACTAATGTAATCTTCTGGTAAGGAAAAGAAAATTTTCATTTTTTAAATTTTTTCCGACAATAGTCGATATTTACGGACAGCCTCTCTTAAAATCTCAATCCAAATCAAAACGTGCGAAAACCAGAACTAAAACACTTAAAACGAATCCGGGTCACAAGTTCGATGCGGTAGTTCAATAATCACACTGGAGACTATAGGCCACAGCTTTTAGGCCACGGGACAGACGATCAAAAGTGGTTTGATTCCAGTTGGCCAAGCCATGAAGTTTTCCCTCTACTTCTTGATTGTTACGGCTCTCATGTCAAGAGGTACGTTCACATGTGTGATTTGTTTAGTTTACTAAACTATATAAGCACACAATTTATCGTTTCTATACCCTCTTTTGTTTATATTAGTTTTATGACGTGTTAATAGACATGTTATGGTTGTCGAAATAAATCGAAGTGGACATATGTTCTGTTTGTCAACACAATATCGGAATGAAAAGAATCCCTAATTAGAAGAACTGATTTACACTGAGTGAAATTATCATATCTATTTCTTTCTAGATAGCAAAAAAAAAAAAAAACAAAAACCAAAAACAATTGTTTTTAAAAAGGTCGTAAGAGTAGCAAATGTTCTAATATACAAAGAGAATACAAACTCGTGGCCTTACTATATATGTTTAAATATTTATTGTAATTAAGCCATTAAGCTGAAATCTAGTTATTTCCGCTGTTGTTTAAGCGAACAGTCGATACCGTGGAGAGAATTCGCCGCTTCATTATGCGAGTGGCTAGAGAGGGGAGGTTGATTTTCACACTTAGTTCAGAAATCACCTGTAAGTGACAAGTTTTTTCGAAGAACAAAGAAAAAGCTTTCATTTTGTTTTGATTTAACACAAATCTTTTTCTTATTTAGATCGATATTCCTTTATGTGAAAATAACGATTTTTTCAAGTTAATCATATCAAGTAGCTACTTCATAAAATTCTTATTTTATTTTATTTATTTTTTGATCAATGATTTTTCGAATTTTATATCAAGGAACGAGTGTGTAGTAAAAAATAAAAATGTATCAATAAATGAATAAGCAAATTCAGTTTTTTCGGTGAAATGTCGGTAATCTTATATAATACTTGTCACAATGAATTTCATTGCTATTCTATAGCATTATTTATTCATTCCCCTCGGCTTATATCGACATTTTCCCATGATATTAAATTTTTTCATGAACTATTTACCAGTTTCCTGTTTGTTTTCGCTGCAATTATAGACTAAACAAATATATTCTATAAAGCAATTTTTGGTGGATAGGAATTCGGTATAATTGGTTTCAAAGGAGTACTGCAGTAGTGTATGGCCTCACTCAATTGGTCAACATCTACACATTTCACTATTCTACTGAAAGACAGCTTTATTCTTCTTCCACGTTTACGCTTGGGCCAGGCGAACTACCCAACAACTGGCAGCAAACAAGCAACGACTCAACTACTTTCTCCGTCTACAATAGTGTATGGCCTCACTCGATTGATCGATATCTACGCATAGTTTCAAAGAATTATGTTTAAATCTAGTAGTGTAGTTGCAAATGCAGTGACCATTTAAAGATTTCAATACATAGTGTCAGTGCTACCTGCTGATGGGAGCTAAGATGAATTGATTAAAAATGTATGTTGTGTTGTTCTTTTGTCTGGGGGATTTCAAGCGTGTTTCTTATTTCTAACTTTGCTCGTGTTCTTTTTGCTGCTATATAGCTTATTTTGGTTTCTGAATTGCATACGGTAGCTTTTTTTTATTTATAGAATACTGATAGGAAAGCATTTTCGCTATCACCATACGAAATTATTTTCTCTCTCCATCACGTTTCTGACAGAAAAGACAAAATCTGATAACAAAAGAATTAGGAAAAAWTTTTTTTTAATTTAATATTTTCCAACTTGAAATTGCACGATCTGCAGTTAACCGTATGTAAGACCGAAGCTTAAAACGACAACACCTTTAAAATAAGAGCATCATAATATTTTTGTTGTTTTGTATAGTTAAGTGGTAAATGGTCGAGCTCGGCAGCTTTCTTTAATCGAACATAAATTTGGACCCACTGAGGTATTGAATTAATTATTCATCTTATTCATGGTGGCTTACTCATGGCATTTTTGACGGCCTGATTTTTTTTTTTTTTTAATTTTTATTAAGATTATAAAAATAACTTATTCTATTTTCTGGCTTTAAAGTGATGTCAGTTTCTTTCTTTCTTTCTTAATTCCACTTTTTTCCTTTTATTTTCGTACTGCAATTGTCTACACATGCGTCTGGTCTGAGCTGCGCACGCGTCTATTTTCACGCTAAAAATCACCAACGTATATCAAAAGACAAAGGTATATCAAAAGACCAACATATATCAATAGTAAACACCATGGCACCACAGGATTGAGCGAATTAAATAATCAAAAGATTAAATTCAAGGTCTTATTGTTGTTAATGCAGTAACAAAAAGTCGATCTTCACTTGTAAACGAATTTTTTTTGTCACGTGTATATCCTGGGAATAAACGTTTTCCGGGTTTCTCCAATTTTCCGCCCTCAACTTCCAAATTCCAACTGGACCAGACATCATAAACTTAAGTACGAGTTTTTGGCTCGGGATACTGCTCAGCCCCTATTTAGAAGTATTCATTAAAAAACTCGAGGGAAGCCTGTCGCGCAATCTTATTTTGGTAATTATTTTACTATTATTATGTTTTCATACAGTTTATAGCAACAGAAATTATTATAAAGAGTCAAATGTCAAGAAGCAACTTGTTCCCGTTTCATTCTACTATGATTCAAATGGGATGGTCAATGATGCTGGAGCCATACAGACACCGCTGACCACACAGTCATTTGAAGCAGGCTCATATCCAAACACTTATAGTTTCAAAGCTGCGAGTAGAAATGAGAACGATCAAAATTTTCTTCAGAGTATAACCCAACAGCAGGGCGATGACCAGGAAAGCGTCCAGCAAGAAGACGGGGAAAACTATGAGAGTGAACCGAATGACGTGGAATTTGCTTCCGAAGCCAAACCACCTACCAACCAAAACCATTACCAGGAAGATTCCATTAATGAGAGTTTACTTGGAAATCAAGTAAATAACCTGTTAAGTAATGGCGTTAATGCTGAGGCGCCCAACAGCAACACCAATTTCCAGGAAAGGATTGACACTGGCCATTTTACGAACAGACCAGAACTAGATGGTAATGGTAGCAGTGATCATTTATCAGACAACCAATTGGGGAAAAATGTTACCAAATCTCCTAACAACAACACCAGTTTCCAGGAAGGGTTTGATACTGACCAGTTTTTAAGCAGGCAAAAACCTGCACCAGATAATGGTAACAGCGATCAATTACCAGACAACCAATTGGAAAAAGGCATCAAAGGAGTACCAGTCTTTCATACAGGTATATCTGCAAACGTTCTACAGTCAACTCTCGCCTTGTGGACACCCCGATATTACGGACACCTTGTTATTGCGGACAGGAGGAAAATCCACGGCCAAAAATACTGACAAAGAAATGAAATTCTCCCTACTACGGACGCTCGCTATTACGGACACCAAGTGATGGTCCCGAGGGTGTCCGCTGTAGCGAGAATTGACTGTACTTCACCCAATCAGTCAACTCTCGCTATTTTTTTTWAAATTTTTTTCATTAACTTTCCCCTGATGTCAGGAAAGCCAATTACTGTGGGCCTTGTACTAATTATAAGCACAAACACTGAAAATGGTCGTTACCAGCGTCTTCAGTGGGTCATTGACGTTCACCTTATACAGTTAGCTCTCGCTACAGCGGACACCCTCGGGACCATCACTTGGTGTCCGTAATAGCGAGCGTCCGCAATAGGGAGAATTAAATACGGTCATTTCTTTGTCAGTATTTTTGGCCGTGGATTTTCCTCCTGTCCGCAATAACAAGGTGTCCGTAATATCGGGGTGCCCACAAGGCGAGAGTTGACTGTATAGGGTTATAGTGAAGACAGGCGAGGTCTAAGGTTAAAAGACCCTATCCGAGAAGACTTGAAGGGTCTAACCATTTGCAAATGTAATTATTACAAAGGCAGCACCTTCTCAGTCATTTTAAGATCCTGAGTGTTGGTCTGACCGGGACTCGAACCACGACCTCCGCACAACAGACCGACGATCTTACGGCGGATTGAATCAAAATGTAATTAGCTAAATTATCATAGAAGATCCAGATACAGAAAAATGATATAACGTTATCATATAAATATTAATATTAACGGGAATATTAAAGCGGTCCCAAACTTTCCCAACCCTATAGCTGGGTCCTTTATGCAGTAATACCTGTTGAGTTGCACATAAGGCTTATGACAGTCTTAGAACAAAACAGCCAGTATTGCCTTGTGCTACTTCTTGTGATGCTAATCTCAGAAAGGCAATCCCTCCTCTGAACGTGTACTGTTGTCTTTCAAATTTAAATTGCACAGAAGAAGGAAAAATATTTGAACCCAACCAGAAGCTACCCGATGAAGGTACAGATAACGTCTTGGACAGCGGAGTAAAAGGTTCGGCCAATTTAAATGCTATGGAAGAAAGCCAAGAACAGCAAGGTACGTATGAAAGAAACAGTTGAATACCGACATCAAAGTAGGGAATTTTGTACGGAAATAGACTGGGGTGCATTAAGATAAATGCTAACTTTATAGATTATGAACAATTGTCCTAATTCGTTATGACGTCACATGAAAACATATTTGGTTTTTAAAATATTATGGCCGTTGAAGGGAGGTAAAAGTACGGCAACCGTAGTTTTCTCGATGATTGATTGTTTTTTAATCGTGATTATCATTGATCTTTTCTTTCGTTAGAAATGATCGTGAAGAACGAAATGTTCAGCGATACATTGGTCCAGCAGAACATAATCAAGATAGAAGGCAAAGTTACCTCACCAGAACCTAAGGGAGACTGTAAAGGGCTGTGGCTATCGTTCGATGGTGGGCATGTCAAGCTTAGTAGCAAGTCTCTGAAATCATTACCTAAACGCGAAATGACATTCATGGCTTGGATTCGTATTCGTAAAACAATCCTCAGATCAACTGTGTACTCAACTGCTGCAGCTGGTGGAGGTCTTCAGCTGCTGGAGGTGATCCCAGCATCTAACATGTTGAGCTCTATTTTGAGGTGGAAAGTTGATACTGCCAAAAATGACAACCTTTTCACGATACAGACGGAGGAAATAATTCCTTCAGGTATGCTAGTTTACTCGATCTTCCGTCTTGACTTTTATTTTTCAAACAAACGTTCCCTACGTATCTCCTAAACACTCTTCCCTAAGAGCAATGGGATTCCTTCATACAGAGCTTTTGTACCATCACGTGATGGCARCCATAGCAGGAGGCGCAACAATATAGTCTTTTTTCCCTGGGAAACTGGATTCTTTCTCGTGTAAAGGAATCAGATTAGACCAGATTCAATTGTTCCTGCCTCCCTGCCATCACGTGATGGTGCAAAGCCTCTATAGATTATATTCTTTACATCTCTTTTAATACACTTGAAGATTTTTCTAATATTTCGTACAAAATACATTTCGTAGTCTTACGAGATACATTCCACATTGTCAAAGTTCCCTGTGACTATGGCAACCATAATTACATGCATATTTTTATCACGTGCCAGGGTTGTGGACTCATGTAATTGCTAAGTACGATGGAACCCAAGGTAAAGCGTACCTCTTTGTAAACGGTGACAAGGCAATCAAGAAAAAAGATATTCCACCAGGGAAAGATCTGGTTTGGGGGAACGACATCGTGATTGGAGGTTTAACAAACGCAGCTGGCAAAATTACCTTCTCGTTTCTTGGTGGGATGATAAACATGCGATTCGTAGAAAAGGCCTTCGATAATACTGAGATCAAAACAGCGTACTTGCAGTGTAAGCCACCTTATGAAGGTAAAGACGATGACTTGCCGTTCATCCTTAGGGCTATGCTTTTCTCTCTTAACTTCTGTGTATACACACTACAACTTTGGTCCTAGAGCGTTGCATGCGAGAAATGTTTACAAGAAGTAGGACCTTCATTTTACTACCACTAACAAAATGCTTCGCGATTTTCCTTTCTTATTCAAATTCGTATTGCCTCATGAAAATAGTAGTAACACAATTGGTGCTAATTCACTAAGCAAAAGAAAGTGTGCAAGGGATTCTGGAAGTCGTAGTTAATGACTAGTTTTCATGTCAGATCCTCGTCAGATCAAGTAAACGCTTTTTTGTTTGTCTTTCTCATTCTACTTCTCTTCTCTGTTTCCTTAAGCTTTTTGTTTTCTTGACGTCCTAACATTTGTTTCCTACAGAGATAGCATATTTGGTGACCGTGTGTTCTGGGAACAAGCTAGGTTCAGGCACAACGTCAAGCGCCTACATACAAGTGGTCGGACTAGATGGCGAGTTTGGGGAAGTCAAGCTTGGAAACAGCTTTTCCTCAGGCTGGTAACAACGCCGCGATTCATATTCCGTGATCTTTCTTTGTCGTTTGCACCATGACATGACCACGTTATAGAGGTTTTACACCATCATGTGAGGGCAGCAATGGCAGGAGCAATTGAATCTTCTGGTCTTCAGTTTTCCAGGGGAAAGACTCTATCTCCTACCAAGGCTGCCATCACCTGATGGTGCAAACCCTCTATTGGTCCCTTTAGTGTGACTGAAAACGTACGATATCAGTAATTCGCACTTCTCCGTACTTTGTACTTAAGAAACAATAGACACTGCACTTTTTGTACTATTTAAATCAAAATAGATTCAGTACTGTTTAACATATTTATGAGTTTGTATTCTATACTACTTTAATCTACCTCGTTTTACAAGTGTTACTTTAAATTACTTTACGGCTACTTTGATTGTTATTCTAAAAGTGCTCCTTATGTTCATCAGCGGCAAAACACTCACCATCTATGGTCCTTATGTCGGTAAAATTCAGAAGATTAGTATCAGGAAGGACAATACAGGCATTGGTTTTAAAGACTGGCTTCTTGACAAGGTAAGAATGCGTCATGCTAGCGTGCAGGCGTCAAAATCCGTAAAAAAGTGAAATAGGATTCCAAATTATGAGAGTATCCTCAGTCATTTTGTGACAATGAAACGATAGACGAAGAGAAATTCAGCCCTTCAAATTTTATCGAACTTTGAAACAACCTTTGGACTGATCTAAGTTAAGGGCACTCCTAACTCACAGATCAAACCATGGAACCCGGGGGGGGGGGGGGGGGTACTCCCCTATATTAGCTATACGGGTATGTGCAAATGAAATAAGAAAATTACCTAATACATAGTATATATATATACCTATAATATATTTGGAATCAAACACTCATGTACTATTRGTATAAGGTGCCAAATAAAATTGTATTGTATTGTATATAGGGTATGGTTTTTCGGCTTTTGGGTCTGGGGTAGGATATCATTTTTTGACATTTTGTCTGGGATAGGGTGTCATTTTAGTTTGGGATAGGGTTAACGATTTGGTCGTTTTTGTCTGGCTAATAGGCTACGCTTTCTGCCGACACAAAAACAATAAAAATGTTAGTAAATATTGATTGCAATCGATTGTAAAACCGTATTTTCCGTATTTTAGTCTGGGATAGGGTGTGCAATTCTTAGTTTTAGTCTGGGGTAGGGTATGTAAAATCAGAATTTTAGGTCTGGGATAGGGTCAGGGTTTTGAGGTCCTGGCGGCACACCCCTACCCAAGTTGGGGTGGTAGTACCCCTCCGGGCCATGGAACAACCTCTGTGCTGATCAGAGCTGCCTGGATATATATCCGTTGCGTTTTGTCGATCTGTAACCACACATGTGTTCTTTCCACAGATCACCATTAGCGTCGAATCAATGCCAAAGGTTGGCGAGGTATATGATTTCAAATGCAATTGTGAACTATCTGACAAGACCACGATGCAGAAATTCATAGACGCTTCCCCTTTAGGTATTGCTTATCTTTATTTGCTTATAATCGTCTTTACAACTTCAAATGCTAGCCTGGAAGTTTATTAAAACCCTTCAAATGTTCTGAAACAACTGCCGTGTTGATTGTGTTGATCAGAGAACCTCTAACTCACACATGAGGTTGAAATATAACTTAGATTTTGTTCAAGGAGGAAACCCTCGGATCAAACTATAAGAAGCGATTACCCTACCACTACGCCAATTATGACTTCCATATTCGTTTACCACTCCCTTTCTAAATCCTTCTTTTCTTGAAGCTTTAAACTTACCATCAAATGGCTTAAACTTTAGACCAATAGAAACCATTGACCAACAAAAGAGCCAATCAGAATGGTTAAGGTATATCACGGTGCAGGCGCTACTGCCATTACGTAAGGCGAATTCCATTACGATCTGTGAATTAACCATTTTCTGATTTTAAACAGCCAAGTATTGTTTTAAGGTATCGATAAAATTTGAAAATTCGATATAAATAAAGGCATTTGGGACGTACAATTTTCATTCCATTATTTTTTTCCCTTTTTCTCCATGGCAACAAGTAAACGGAGGCTGGTCAGCCTGGTCGGAGTGGAGTGGATGCGGTACCGGAATGTGTGGTGGAGACATGAAGGTTCGAACAAGAGCCTGCACAAATCCTGCGCCTTCTGAAGGAGGGAAAAAATGCATGCTGCCCGACAAGACGTTTGCTACTTTTGATAATGAAACAGTAGCCTGCCCAGGTAAGCTTAGAATCATAAGATTTATGTTATGCAGAATATTTGATTTAGAAATCTCAAGAGACATTGATAAGGGACCTAAGGCTGCCGTGTAGCTGGGGGAGGGGGAGAGGGAGGGTTCTTGAGCCACCGTTACACCTAGCTATACACAAACGATACCATTTCTGGAATTTCTTTCTGTCTTCCCGCGCTACACTAATAAAAAGCCCGCCTCCGTCACGTCGTCTCGGGTATTTCATCAAACTCAGTCTCCCTAGATTTCTTACCTCCTCAATTTGAAGACCGTATATTCGCCTATATTGAGATTTAGGATTTAGCCAACTAGAGTGATGACAATATGCTTCTCGGTTCCCAAACAGACAGCGTTCTCATTGTGTTTTTTTCTTATTCTGGTGTGTTACAGTTAATGGTGACTGGGGCGCTTGGAGCAGCTGGTCAGAGTGTGATCAAATCTGTGGTGGATCTAAAGTAACACGAACAAGGGCTTGTGACAATCCTGCTCCCAAAAATAATGGGAAAAACTGCGTGGGACCTAAAGAAGAGACAAAAATGGACTGTACTCAAGAATGTGAAGGTATTGTCCTCTCCCATCGTTTTTACCCTGTGTCTTCTTAGTGTCGAATAGCATGAGCCAATTATTATAGCATCAAAGGTCTTGATGATTATTAGACGCTTGGGCACAACTAAGTGTAAGGGCCAAAATTTGTCCTCTGCTTTTATTGCTTTTGTCATTGTCATTAACACTTCTGTTTGAATGCTATTCCACAAGACATTTCACTCCCTTTGCCATGCTCTCTCATTTACGAATCATTTCTATTTCCAGACTGGTTAGCCAACATTCCCCATACAACACACCGTTCTTTCTTTTATTTCATCTTCGTCATTTCTTGTTTTCCAGATTGGCCTGTCAATGGTAACTGGACTGAATGGGGAGCTTGGAGCGCATGTTCAAAATCCTGTGGTGGAAGTGTTGTGACTCGTAAGAGAACGTGTAGCAATCCTGCTCCACTGAGGAATGGTTTACCTTGTGAAGGAGATGACACCGAGACTGCAACAGACTGTACTGTACACTGCCCAAGTATGTTATGATACTTAATGTCAAAACTTGATTTATTCCATGTCACTGAGACAAAACGTAGTCGACCAAATAACATGTAAAACCAAGTTGTTTCGCAACTAAGACGTTTTACCGAACGATTTGGTTCAAGGGTTGATATTTTAAAATAATGAATATTAAAATATTCAATAGTTTTAAAATTACTAAACAACATCAATTGCGCCTGGAGAACGCGGTATTTTCCCCATATATATATTTTTTAAATTCAAATTTGAAATTGAATGTTCTGTGTGCTTACAACACATTGTTTTGTAGTCGATGGAGCATGGACCGAATGGGGACCATGGACTGAATGTAGCACAACATGTGGTCCAGGACAACAGACGCGTCAACGAAACTGTACCAATCCACCTGCTGCTTTTGGCGGGAAAGAGTGTCCAGAAAAGGACGGCAAGGAAGTCAAGGAATGCAAACTGGTTAAATGTCCAAGTGAGGTTTAAAATTTTTTTAATATAGTATAAAATTAGGTATCTTAGCAGAAGAGAAGAACAATATGGAAATGTGTCAAGGTGTAAAGATAATTTTCGCTGATATTAATAGAAAATGAAAATATACAGTGTGTCACGTATGGGAATTTAACCTATGTTCTTTCGAATTCTAGTCATATGCTCTACCACTGATGTAGCGGAAGCCTTGGTAAACTAATGGCTATTTTTTAAAATTTCGATGGCCAATACTGGGCTATCTAGACCTAAAATCAAAGCGCCAAGTTAAAAAGATATAGATTTTTTTGCTCCCTTATTAATAGTTTTTTTACGAGTTCAGAAATACATTTTTAAAGTATTTGTCAATCCCTTTCCCACATCTCTTTTAACTACTCGGCGCTACAAATCATATCAGATCATGCTATGGTGTTCTTGGGGGTGTTTTTGGCGCCTTAGCTGCCTTTGGATGAGTTTTGGAACGTCTTGTTCAATGACAATCTTCAAAACATATTTATTTTCGAAATGGCGGAAAATGACATCAGATTTCTAAATTGAAATGCGCCATATGCACTTGTTCTAACGATGCGGCAAGCGTTTTTTATACATGGTTATAATGTTTGTATTCGATATGTTTATTTTCAGATGCAGTGAACGGTAACTGGGGCAATTGGGGCGCATGGTCAGCATGCACTGAGAAAGAGTTCTGTGATCAGGGTGAAAAGAAACGCACTCGTAAATGTGACAATCCAGCCCCTGCCGAGGGGGGTGATCTGTGCGTTGGCTCGGACACTGAAGATGAATTGTGCCCGAAAGATAAGTGCAAACGTAAGGACTTTAGAAACTCACTAAGTTTGAAGTTTCAAAAAATTCAAAGAAAAAACATTCATATTCATTGACACCCCGAAACAACCACAGAGATGATCAAAGTTCACGGGCTGTCATGGGCTGCCTTTCTTATAACCTACGTTAAAAATTTGAATTTAGCGAGTTAGGCCTTTTGTGAGGAGGAAAAACTGAATAACCCTCAGAAAACCCTCCAATCGAGGAGGTGTGTTACCACTACACCATCTTTCATTCCCAAAATGCGATTCAATGTATTTTTATGAATGCATTACACCAACTGCTTGCTACGTAGGCTCTTCCATGCGTCCTTCAAACTCGCACAAAATCTGTTCTGTTGTTTCGCTTTAGCTCTCGAGGGACAAACGATTAATCTCAAGCCGACTTCATTCATCACTGAGTCATGCAAAGCCAAAACTGCTTCATTCGCTTTGAACTCCAAAGACATTCCCAATTCCATTTACGCTGACAAGATCTTGGCGGGAATCAAGGACATCATCACAACCAGCTACTTTGCCAAGATAGAAGTAGAGCAAGATGATGAAAACGTCACGAAGTTTTGTTTTCAACCCAAGGCTCCATTGGCAATGCAGAAGCTTGAAAAGGCTTTTCCTGGGTATGCTAAGACGACGTCATTACCTGAATTTACGAAGCCGACTGGGACTGAGGATACCGCTGGCCTGTCGGTAACGCTGAAGACTGATGGATCTCTGCATGCAGGTATATATATGGTGATAGGTAAATAAAAGTTCACCGCCTGAGACTCCCCATAAATTAATTGGAAACAAGGGAAACTGCGGAAATTTTAATCTCTTAAAAAGATAACATGCAAAGTATTATAGAGGGGTTTCACGGCAGCAATTATGGAGGGCAAAACAACGGGCGCAAATAAGGTTTCTTGTTATGCAAACATGTCGTATTGGCCTTGCCCTACCTAAAACATGGCTGCCCGCGTGAAAGCCATTTTTGGCCGATTGTATTATGTTGTCATTTGACTACCGATCCCGACCCATTTTACTTTTTGAGAAATGAAATCTCTTGTCAAGTGAAGACACTGTATTTTTCTTATCCTACAAAATGCCTCCTGGAAAATCCCTCTTTTGGCCCATCGCATTATGTTGTCATTTGACTACCCATCCTATTTTACTTTTTGAGAAATAAAATCTCTTGTAAAGCGAAGACACTGTATTTTTCTTACCTTACAAAATGCCTCCTGGAAAATCCCTCTTTTATATTAGTCGGTTCAATTATGGTGTCACTTTGATAACCCATTTCATGTTATTTTCTTTATTTTCTTCGTTAATCTTTTTTTAATTTTTATTTATTTAGTGGAGTTCAGTCTTGGAGAGGCAGACCAGTACGCGCCAGTCAAAGATGTCGTCATTAAATACGCCAAGTTCTTTTTCAAAGAAAAGCCAGGAGAAAGAGGCATCGTAGCGTATGGTCAACACGAATTTGCTAACAGTCTTTTCGATGTTGAATTTAAGTTGGAATCAGATCCAGTATTGGTTGGTACAAGTAACACCAAAACAGACCTAGGTAAGATATCCTGTCCATTTTCTGGACATTGTGTCTGGACATTGTTTTCTTACCTATTTAATGGTGCAAGTGTGGAAGGTGCTAGGACAAGCCTTGTTATGTATATCAGTCACCCTACCTCTATTTTTATTTGCCTATAAAAACGCGCCGAAAGGTCTGTACCTCATATCTTCTTATCTCTCGCACACCTCCGCCCGCCCAACTTCTCTCAACATCTGAAGAAAGGCAGTCGCTAAAAAAGAGAATGAACTAAAAGAAATCCGACTTTAAAGAGAGTTAGTTTACGATTAGTATTTTGATCTCCGATAGACAGACCTAATCTGATTAAATCATTTTGAAATGTCACAGAGGCTGTCATCAACGCGCTATCTCTTCCTCAAGCTACTTCCTTGGTCGGAAGCCCAGCGGTGGCCGCCCAAGATGTTCTTAAGAATATCTTGATCGACTACCTGTTGAACCTCGGTCTTTCTAAAGTGAAGATAAATGATCTCAAGGAAGCACTCGGCAAAAATACTAAAAGAATTTCCGGTTCCGTCAAAGTTGGTGCTACCGAAACATTTAATGTGGAAGTTATCAAGCAGAAATATTTTGCGATTGGGTTGACTTCAGACCAAGCATCTGTCCAGGGAATTCTGGATAAGCTACTTGTCAAACTCAAAGGGAAGAAAATGCCAGAAGGAATGGGTATCTTTGGTTCTATGATCAATACACAGGTTGGTTTATTGTCATCATCATCATCATCATCATCATTGTCTTCATCGTCATTGTCTTCATCGTCATTGTCTTCATCATCATTGTCTTCATCACCATTGTCATGATCATTGTCATCATAAGTCATCATCATCAATGTCATCAACATCAGCGTCATCATGAGTCATCATCACCAGCATCAGCATCATCATGATGCAATTGCCATCATCATGAGTCATATAATCACCATTATCATCCTCATCACCTACATCATTGATCATCACCATCATCACCAAAGTCATCATTGTCATTACCATCATTACCTCATTGCCATCATCATCATTCAGCATCGACATCACTGTGATTGTAATCGTCAACAACAAATCTATTGCTTCTTCACGTGCGTGCATATCGTATATCGCTTTCGTAGTCTTATTCTTATTCTCGATTGATTACTACGATTGTTAGTTCAATTAAGCAGAGCTATCACAGCTTATAGTGCCGTGTATTGGAAATTCGTTCAAAGCTTATCTTCATATTTTATATTCTCAGGTCGGTATCGCTTACGCGCAGAAGGGTTTCAAAGTCGATGCAGAAACCAGTTTTGTAACAGAACCCTTAAAATCTGCCTTCTCTAGTAACGCAATGAAAGAGGGTGTCTTCATTGCCATGCGTACACAGCTCCCTGAAACCTGTAAAGGCAATGTCTGTAAGTTTTTTAGGGCTCTTGTTGGTAAACCTGAAAAGGCCAAGGACACTTGGTTGTCTTTTTCAATTTACGGAAGCAAGAAAGGGTTGGAGCTTACAGCGTCTATTCTTGGTCGAAAGATCACGGAGAATGTCGAGCTTTCGAAGATAGAGCTCTTTTTAAAGGTATAATTGAAGTTCTAGTTCAAGTAGCTTAAACTAGTACGTATTCCATTGTTTGTCACGCTAAATTCTTTATGTGAAATTGTACACAGACTCGCTATACTGTGTAAAAGCGCAGCAAAGGGCACTATCACAGTGTTGACATATTTCGAACCAATCACAGAAAGAAAGACAACTGCTAAGCCAATGAGAATGCTTAGACACGCTACCGTCACGGTCAAAGCACGCTACCATCACGGTCAAGGCACGCTACCGTCACGGTCAAGGCACACTACCGTCACGGTCACGGCATACTACCGTCACGGTCAAGGCACGCTTCCGTCACCGTCACGGCATACTACCGTCACGGTCACGGTACGCTACCGTCACGGTCACGACACGCCATGTTTGTACTGTGAGTTTCCCCCCGTCATAAGAAATTTGCTCGATTGCATGACATGACATGGTTCTTGTTATCTTCCAGGCAACCTTTCTCCCACCCTCAGTTAAGATGGAATTCAGGATTGGTGTCACGTTTCCTAGTCCCACTGGGGAAATCTACATCGACAATATCAAGCAGCCCGAGGAAAAGTGGACTCTAGAAGGAGCAATCAGTTTGTCGTCTGTCCCCACAGATTTGCTTGGAATTACTCTCGGTATGAAGGGAATTTGGAGAAAAGCATTAGGGATTCCATTCCTTGCTATTCGAGACATTAAGTTTAGGTAGGTCCGTGATCACATTACGGCGACTGGTCATATAAATATAATTGTTGGAGCTTCCGCTATTGCATAAATCATGCATAAAATTAAAAAAAAAAAAATACGGATTAACCTTAGTTCATCAGTTATAGGAGACAACAATGCTTTCATAAGAAAGAGTAAATCGAAATTAGCGATCTTCCAAAATTTCAGTGCAGTAACATTAAATGATAAAAAGCTACAATTGTTTGAAATTAGAAAGGTTTGTATGGAAACAACAACCAAGGACCTACCAGCCTCGCTATCATGTTTTCGGTACATTACAAATGCTTATAACTCTTCAGGGATTTAATATATGACAACAGAACTTTCCGAAATTGCTAATTTAGACATGGTCTTTCTTGTAATGAAAAAATATTTTTGAAGTCATGAATGGTTTGTGGTGCGCGTTCCCAGTCTTAAACTCGTTTTTCATATGGTCTCTTGCTTGACAGAGCAAAATCTACCAACACCAGCCACATAGCTTCCCCAACGCATAAACTATAAATGTCAATGGGAATTTAGGAAGAGTCAGTCAGTAGTCAAAACTTTTTTTTTTTTTTTCTAGCTTTAAAATATCTACTGCTGGAATACTGTCATCGTTTGGATTTGCTGGCGCACTAGAGTTAGGGACAGATTGTTATTATGATGAAGACTTTGGAAAGGACGTAAGTAGAAAGAAATTCCAAGCATTGATCAGGTATATTGCTGGTTTATTAGCCGCGACGTTAGTTGGTTTTTATAACATATTTGCCAGTATTCTCTTGTTATGTCAACCATGATGGCCATGTTTTTAATTACATAAATCTCTTTTCAATGATTAGCTTTTTATTGCACCAGGAACTGATCAGGAACTCGATTTTGGGTACAATAAAAAAGGGCACATACGGTCATGGAAAATTAAAGTCATGCCATTTGAAATTTTCATTCCAGTCTTACGGTGCTCGGTGGAATGAGATAGGGTTGCCATGGTTAAGTAGCTAGGTCGGCACCTCCCACCAAACAAGCACTCAAAAATAATAGGTCTTTTGCAATAACGGGTCACGTGACCACACCTCCCTTAAAATGAACAGTTGTGTCAAAATGAATACCGGAAATTGAAAAAGCACCTCAACATAAGTAAGTGGGCAAAATGCTATTTATCCTATAGTCAACATCATGATTTAAAAATATAAAATCGAATATTTGATACCGGATTTGTATTTAAAAAGTGCCCCGGTGGGCAAAGCTTCGTGGGATACCAGCCACGCATAGCTAAAGAAGCTACCGACGTTAAATATAATTACTTAAAGTTCATTGTAAATTTTGACTTAAAACTTTAATCATTTTCTGTGTCTCTTTGATAGGGGAGGTGTATCAGAGCAGGGGTGGACTTTAACCTTGGTATAGGAATGGAAGCCAAGTACGTGTATGGCTCGTTGTCACCCGTAACAGTTGGAAAAATCTTTCGTATGTTTAACTCGAAGCTTGAGATACCAGAGAAGATAGCAAACAGCGGTTTTGAGAAGGAAGTAGTGGTAATTATCATAGTTTTTTTATTAGTCTCTTTGTTTGTGCCAAACATGGGACTCGCCTCTCGCCACTGGGTTCACTAGGGGTTCGATTCCTCGCCATCACATGTGCCGGAGTTTGTTTGGTCTCACCCTCGGTTTCAAGGAAGAGACCAAACCTGAACTCCACTCATGTGATGGCGAGTTTAATTAGTACCTAATCGGACCTGCGGTGAGAGGAGAGTGATCAGCTCTCTTGCTTATATTCAAATTATATCTTTTTCTTCTCTAAGGTTTCATTTGCTTCAAAGAAACAAGTTATTAAATACCAAGGGGTTGACATTGAGCTCAAAGAAGGGCTTAGCATCAATGGCACACTTTCAATTCTTGGATTTCAAATAGCCACAGCAATTGTACTCTCTCCAAAGGTAAGAAAAACGAGTATTCGAGCCTATAATTAGTACTACAGAATTGACTGGTGTAAATGTGTATATTTCAAACAGAGAGTTTATTTCAAAGTGGAACTATCTCCATTGAAGTTAGGAAAGATTCAGATCTTTCAGTCATTGGCTAAAAAGACCCTTGGACCTGTGTTTTATGCAGACGCTATAACATATCCATCACCATCATTAGAGGTAAGGCGATGCAAAAATTACATTGCGTAAGTTTGAAAAACGCACGCGCGTGAGGACTATTTTCCCGCCAATTTTTCAAGCGTGTACCAGTTGTGGTTCCACATACGTCAGTACTTTATGAGTCCGTGTTCTGACACGGTACAGCTGGTGAGTACAACGTTGCTGGCAACGGATATTCAATGTATTTCAAACGTAGCAATTTTTTCTACAACAAAACTATGAATTACTGAAGCACTCCGCTACCCGATTCTTGACAGAAGTACATTTATCCTTCGCATTCCATTGGCTAAGAAGATTACGCCATTGACAGCAACGTTGCAATTTGCATGTTTGACGAAGAAAACTTCATATGCGCAACAGTACATAGTTCCACAGTATATCTTGGGGTACTTGACCATTCTTGATAACAAGGCTGTCAAACAGCCTTGTTTAACAGAACTGTGTATTAGGTTAAGAAAACTTTGCGCAGCCAAGCTTTCTCACCCTTCTCGTGCTCTGCAGCTTTTAACTATTATAAACATCGGCCTTTTTATAATCATAAAAATATGATTGAGACCCTATAAAGTTTGTGAAGTTCTAGTGTCAAGAAATATGAATGAGAGCGCGCGCATAAAAAAATGTCCAGCCAATCAAAGCAAGCATGGTATAAATCTTGTCATACATTTACTCAGATTTATCTCAGGGGAGCCACAAAGATCTTCGACGTCGAGACCGAGATCATGTTTCATTTCAAGCCCAAATTAATCGAAGCCAGTTTTAAGCTGGGGCTACCACTTATCAAATTAGAAGTCGAAGTCTATGTCAAAGGTACCTATGGAACTAAACTAGAGGACTATGGCTTCCTGGCTAAGTTGAAAGTAACAAGTGGACACATGGAGGTAAAGCCTTTATTCGATTGTGTGACTCAATAATAAGGCTAGAAATAAAAAAGTTTTATTTATTGGGTTTCCTATATGTTTTTGGACGGTGTCTGAGAAACATTGGGATTACGAATGCGTAGTGCGGTCGTGCTAGTTTTACAGTGGGAATTTGTCTCACAGTTAAGGCGTTCCATATGCACGTTTCCTTGACAACGTTATGTTTTAGCTAACAATTTCACTATAATAGAGATTATATTTCATTTGTTTATTACTTGCTATATATTTGCACTAAAAAAATTAAAAACCAGTTCTATAGACCTCTTCGGCTCTGACGTAATGTTTTCCCATTTCAGACACATGTCATTCCCTAGAGTATCATTTCTTTCTCGGTTGCACATGAGAAGACACATGAATATGGATACAGCTCAAACAAAGAATCTTATTCTCAACGGAATGACACGTGGTCTGAAATGGGAAAACATTACCCCAAGCCCAAGAGGTCTATTCTGTCTAACAAGCGAAAAGCTGTAAAGTGTCTTATATCGTGGATATTTTTTTTTTCCTTTTCTTCTTGCTGTTTCTCTAGATTAAGAAAGATGCCTCTGCGACGGTCGAAAATCTTGTCAACCGGGCAAGAACTAAGATACAAGAAGTAAGGGACAGAGTTAAGAAACAGAAAGAAGAATGTAAGAAAAAAGTAATCAATTACTGCGGCAAGTGCAAAGAAATTGTGTGTGACACGGTAAGAATTTTATTATAATAAAAAAGTCGAGATAATGGAAGGCCTTGTGTTACGCATAAAACACACATCGATGATAATGATGGCGAAGATGGTGTATGATGTTGATGATGGTGATGATAATGGTCATCATGATGATGATGACTGACGATAAGGATCGTCATGCTGATTTCCATACACCGGTTCACCGGTGACGATGACAGTGATGGTGATGATGACTGATGATGGATGAAAATGATAGTAATGATTGATGATGAGGATCTTAATGCTGATTTCCATACCCCTGTTAACCGGTGACGATGACAGTGATGGTAATGATTATTGATGATGGATGAAAATGATAGTAATGATTGATGATGAGGATCGTAATGCTGATTTCCATACACCGGTTCTTTTCGCTGGTGATGATAATGGTTATGATGACTAATGATAATGAACTGATAGGGATGACAGCTCATAACTCATGATGAGGATGATGACAGTGATGATGGTGGTGATGATGACAGTGATGATGATGATAATAATAATAATAATAATAATAATAATAATGGGGGTTCTTCTATAGCGCATTTCACAATGTCTCAATGCGCTTTACATTGCAGTGGAGGACTTTACGGGCTGCATATTAAGGCGCTATTAGCAGCCGTGCAGCTTACAATCATGAGTGATTTATTAGTACATAAGTGTTATGCCTCCAAATTGGGATAGGCTGTTGAACCGGGAGACAATCCCCTACTCTTACACGAATAATTCAACAGGTTCTTTTATGTCCCACATTTACTCTTGGTTAGGAAGAGTTGGAAGACAGTAATAATAATGGCGCGATGATTATTTAATGGTGATAACTGATAATGATTATGATGTCTCCACGCTCCTATAATGTATTATCCTTTATATCTATTCTAACTTCTTTTCATATCTGCTCTAACTTTTTATCGATTCCAGGTGCGGTCAAATTGTCAGGTAGCACTGGATGAGTTCAAGAACTATATAGGTGGAGCGGTAAACAGATTTGGTAAGTTGGTGAATAAATGATAGTTACGCAATGCTTTCGAAATATCGAAAATAAATATAGATTTTTGGACGAAAATCCAATATTAAAACTGCACAAAGCAAGTGCATTCTTTGATGGTACATTGACTTGTCTGATCTCTACCTTATTTCTGTCTTCAAACAGGCGGCTGGTTCATTGGTGTTGCCAAGAAAATAGCATCAACATTCAAAACGACACGCGAGCGCAGAAGCGTCGAGTTCTTTCCGGGTCGAGCCCAGATGATGACACGTTTGAGACGCAAGAGATTCATTGGGAATTATCTTTGCAAGACGTTAGCCCCGGCCATCTGTAAGGGATCAAGGTCTTTTTGCGACGGTGAGTTAAACAACAGTAACTTGTATCCATGGCTGGTCAAGCGTATGATTTAACTATATCTAGAGATTAAAGTACTATATATTCCAGCAGCATAAAAGTGGTTAGTTACTTTGTTATTTGCAGAAGCATCTTACCTTTTGACTTCACAATCATATTTCTTCAACTGATAGATTAGCAAGATCAACTTATTGTGGCGGTGCTCTTAGATTCACTCTCATCATTGCGACCCTGGATCGATTACCAAGCATTCAGTGTCCTATGTAGAGTAGAGTTGCTTCTCCTTTCCTGTGATTCGAAAGTTCTTCTAATCTCCGAGTACTTCGGTTTTTCCCTCTCCACAAAAATAAACTTCCACATTCCAATTCGAACTGGTTCTCAGTGTAGACGTGGCCGTTCGACACAAAAGTCTCGCTATCCAGAAAAGGAGTTGGTGGACTTCAACCAATTGTATTTCTATTGTAACGTGTTTGCACGTTCACCAACAGCCGAAAATAATCGTTTCTTGTGATTTCCCTATGAGATGATGTCGATACGTACTGCGTCCCTATTTTAGTCCATGGTAGTCCTAAGTGTGATAACTTCATCTACGTATTCTTTGTTTTCCAGCGTCGTGTCAACTCCCACAACACATCRCTAAAGGAGTTTGCAAAGGACTCGATCTGGCTCACAGGTCTCTTTTCCTGGTAGAAGACAGTTTTCACTGGGCAAAGCGTATCCATGATGTTTTGCTCAAAGATATAATCAAAGTCCATAGTATTGTGTTTGAGCTTGAACTTTCTCCAACTGTAGGAGTGAGCGCCGATGTTTCAGTTGACATCACTATTATGAATGTTCGACGAAAAATCAGTATTTTGAGTATCAATTTGGCCGAGTTGATAAAATTAGGTAAAGCAATCGCGGATAAAGCTATAGCTGAGCTTAAAAAGATGATTAGTAAGAGGTACACGGATACCACATATGACAAGCCGAATAATGTTGGTGATGTGGTGGTTGGAGGTAAGGTTCGTTTATGGCTGCTGCTTCATTGAAACATGTAAATCATTTGGTAATATACGAATGAGTGCATTACACCCGCACTCCACCTTACACCAAACCATGGGTCCACCACACTATATTTATCACGATACAACAAACCGAACCACACTACACTACACCACACCGCACCACTCCACACCACACAACATCGCACCAACCAACATCACTTATCACACCGTGTTATACCACGCTGCATCACACCTCACATTACACAACACCGCACCACTCCACACCACACCACATCGCACCAACCAACATCACTTATCACACCATGTTATACCACGCTGCATCACACCTCACATTACACAACACCGCACCACTCCACACCACACCACATTGCACTAACCAACATCACTTATCACACCATGTTATACCACGCTGCATCACACCTCACATTACACCACACCGCACCACTCCACACCACACCACATTGCACTAACTAAGATCACTTATCACACCATGTTATACCACGCTGCATCACACCTCACATTACACCACACAACACATTACACTATACACTACCCATAGCCGCACGGATGCGTTCTTTACATAGAATATATATTACATAATTACCATTTATTAGACATAAAACACAAACTGCCACGCCAGCAGCAACACACTACAACACACTATGCTAAATTGTGTCATTCCACCACTCTACGCTACAATCCCACCCCACACCAACACCACTGTAAACTAAATCGCACTATTTCAACGAATCTTTACTTACCTAATCGCGGTTGATGTTTTCTATTTTTTGGTTTTCTATTTCTTCAAAACTGTTATTTATTTTTTGCTTTCAAACAAATTAAATATTATTGTCGTCTCTAGCTCCATTCAGAATCTGTAACACCGGCAGCAAGTGCAATTTTTGTATCACGAGTCCTGCTCTTATGAAAGGATCGTCCATTGGGATGAGCGGGTGCTCTGGTGCAGATTCCCAGTGGGTGTACACGCTGACGGGCGAGCTACTCGTAAGTGCAGATAAATCCATGAGAATTTTAACGTGCCTGTTATACATTAAAGTCAAGTGTTAGTATGAATATACCGTCACCTCCATCTTCACATCGCCATCCATCACCATTATTATCATCATCATCAACATCATCGTCTCTACCACCACTATCATCATCAGTCATCATTTCTCCACTACCATCATCATCACCATCATTATTATCATCACCATCATTACCATCACCATCATTACCATCATTCATATCATCACTATTGCCATCGCCATCATCATCACCATCATTGTCACCACAACCATCATCATCATTAGTCATTATTTCACCACCCACCACCCTCATCAAAACAATCACCATAATGATCTACATGACCATCCCCATCATTATCGGCATCACCATCATCATAGTTTCTTTTATCTTTCTTCTAATAACAATTCATTTTTGCTTATCGATCCTGGTAAATGAATCTAGAACATGCATAGTGGACTATGCTTGGCATTCACTGGTACAGGCAAAGACCTCAAGATCGTTCAACAAGACTGTAAGATCAATGACGAGAACCAACGCTTCACGTGTGAACATAATAGGATCTTCTTGGGTAATAGTAAAACAGACTGCTTGATTGAAAAAGGTACATTTTGCTCACTTATTTTAATATGTTGGAGCAGGGAGTTAAGGGGTCTAGGCTAACCTTTTTTTAACCTGATGATCTTGTCTCAGTAAGAATGATCAAGCACTTTATTGTTTCGTAGCATTTTGCTCACTTACTTTAATATGTTGGAGCAGGGAGTAAAGGGGTCTANGCTAAATTGTGTCATTCCACCACTCTACGCTACAATCCCACCCCACACCAACACCACTGTAAACTAAATCGCACTATTTCAACGAATCTTTACTTTTAGGGGCTCTAAGAGACTCCGTTAAGAGACATTTATAAAAATAAAAAAAATTAAACTAGCAACACGGACTAACGAAGACTGAAATCAAGTAAGAGGAACAAGCATATATATCCACACTTGCTCTGAGGAAGACAGCTTATCTAGTATACATGACTTCTATTTGATAATCTCTGACAACTGAACTGAGATGATCTGCATGATGATCTGCATGAAGGTAAGTAATAAATGTCAAGGGAGTAGTTTTCTTATGACTGCGTAATGCTCGAGGCACGGAGAGAGGCCCTCGTTACACGGCAAGGCAGACGCCAGTCCAATCACATGTGGAGAACATAAATGAAAGATTGTGATTAGTCAGGTTTTGCTTTTTCCTGATTGGCTAGATCGCTTTTTGTCTTTTCTTTCAGCTGGTTATAGTGCATTCGAACAATCAGTAAATCAAAACATTATTCAGCCATATAATCCTTTAAAACTTAAGATAAGATAAACTTGCGAGGCTTTCCAGTTACTATTATCATAGGATTTATCCAAATGCTTTTGTCACTGGTTGCCTCAAATATCTATCTATTAAGCTTTGGCTGTCGTATAATATATCCATAGATTGAGTGGTTTCGTTCGATTCATTATTTCTTCTTGGAGTGCAACCACATGATTCAAAACTGTCAAATTCACTCAAGGTATAAATATCAATAAAACAGCCGCCATTTTCCCGCCACCATGTCGGTTGATCTAAAGAGAGAGGGTAATGAGGAATGATTTGTTATCGTCAATTGACATGGTAGCTATGACGTAACTTGAAATCCAAAAATTGCCTGCACCAATATGGAGCCAACAAAGAGTATAACGAGTGTGTTGCGCGCCGGAGTGTAACATTTGCTCTGCAACTTGCAACGCAACAATGTTGCACGACAAGTTGCACAATTTTGTTGACCATTTTAAAACTGGATTTTTGTATTTTTTTTATTAATAAGTCCTGGTTTGAAAACCTTCGACAAGTATTTACAACAATATTTCTATATTTTCTCCAACATTCTAACCCACTCAGCTGTAATTTTAATACTTTGTATTTAATCTTATATTTCAATAGGTTTAATAACAGGCTTCCGAATATGTCGCATAGTAGATCCAGGCTCCGACGGCTTGAAAGGCGCAAGCGACCCGTATGGCCTGGGGATGGGTAAGTCGGAGTCATCGTCTGGTATATAGGCATTGGGTCGAGGCTCGGCTGTGGTGTATACTCCACCGGGTAATTGATAGTGTTCCTCTTCTTCTTCGCGCTGTGGAAAAATTTTTTGATTTTTTAATACCTTCACTATTCAGGAAGTCATTCTTGTTCCCAGTCGTAACCAGACAAGAAAGCTGAGGAAGTACTGGGAAAGTGAATGGGAAGGTGAATGGAAAGAAAGATAATGGTTCATATACACATTATTTTATCTGCTTTAAGCGACTGATGGCATCAATAGCTGGACATTTCTGATTCATCGATAGACCTCGTTACCTTGAGCGTAATGTTTTCCTCATTTCAGACCACGTGTCATTTTCTTGAGAATAAGATTCGTTGTATGGGTCGTATCCATATTCATGTGTCTTCTTATACGCAAACATTAAACAAAGAAATGATACTCAATGGAATGACACGTGATGTGAAATGGGAAAGCATAAGTAAAAAGGTCTATCGAACCAGTCCAACCAGTCACAGCGAGAGGGATCACTCCTCATCCAATGAAAAGCGTTCGGCATGGCACGTCCATACCGTGAGTCTTTCATTGTCACGACGTCTTTTTCTAACAGAAAACTAACCATTTTCGTATCTTGCATATCCATCTGTCTACGCAGTTCTTCACGCATCATCCTCTGCCACTCCTTTTCTGCATCATCAGTAGGTGCTTCGCCTCTCTCCATTCTAATGTACGCCTGCTCCAGCAGTTGTTCTTGATGTTTGACCGTCTGCTGTAGCTTCATAGCATTAGCTTGGTTCATAGACAGTTCTGATACCATAGCCATCATCTTTCTTGTTGTATCTTTGATCTTCGCTTGATATTCGTTCACCTTTAAAGACATAAATACTTGTTATACAATGCTTGTGAATGGCATAAGTACTGGTGGAGGTTGGGTGATGGGTCCTGCCAATATTTGACAAACCGGTTGCACGGCTCAAAATAACATCTATTAAAATACTCAGTCGATTATTAAAAGATTTTGAGTAGTGAACTACAACCCGTGCAACGAGCTTGACGATATTTGCACATCAAAAGGTGAAGCTAGAACTGCACGCATGTATGTTTTGAAATACCATACACGTAGCTATTCTTTACCTGCGAGCCTACAAAAACTATCAGTGAGGAGTGGATTATTCTTTCATTATTATCAAGGTAAGTTATTCTTTTAAATACAATTAACTTACCTTCTTAGCAAGTTCAAGCGTGTCATCTTTACCACTTTCAGCCTTGGCCTTTGTTCTTTCAGCAAGCCGACTGACTTCTTCATTTATCAAGTCTTTTTCGAGTAGTTTTTCTTCCTTCTCGGCCAACCTCAATTCTAATTCTTCGATCTTTTTGGCCAGGACTTCCGGTTCCGGGTCTGCCCCACCCAGAAGGCGAACGCGTTCTTCGTTGGTGGGATCTTCTAGATCTTTCTCTAAGTCGATAAGCCTGTCTCTGCACGCTGCAAGCTGATAAAGGAATTTAAAAGATATTATGAAATAACTATTATAAATCCTGCAATCTGATTGGTTGTGGGCGCGTGCTTTATGAGAGTACACAGACGCGCGCACGTTTGTTATTTGTTTGATACAATATGTAAAGCATATTTTTTTAGTTTTATAATTTCCAAGATAAAATATGCATGAAGTTCAACACTGAATGTTTTATGAAGGATAGCATTAATATGCACCATAATTGCTATCGCAGATAAAATCCTATTTATGTTTGCGCGCAATATTTTAAAATCTAAGACGTATAAGCAATATTTGTACGATTCCCTTTTGCGTCTTGCAAGGAAACTCGTAACCGAGTATTTCACATGAACAAACTTCCGTGTTGGTGTGTTAAGTGCGTTAAGTGTTCCTTACCTGTATCTGTAGGGTCGCTAGTTCATCGTCCAGCGCTCTCTTGTTTGGCATGTTCTTATTTACTAGTCCTATCCCACGCCGTATCTCATTCAACTAATAAATACAAGATCATCAAGAAATTTTTAGTATTGATAAGACCAACCAAAGGAACTGCAAAAAGGATCCTGATAGTAAATGAGAAATGAGAAAAAACGGAGAATGCGGGCAATGCACCGTCGATATGGGTGTAATATTTTTTCTTTATATAGATGAGTGAATGAACTAAATTAGATAAAAACTACTGAAAAAGATTTTCATAAAGGTCAGTATGCGTACCTCCATTTTAAGGAAACGTATTTCTTCCTCACGTGCTTTCAGCTCGACGTCTCCATTACGAATCATCGTTTCTACAAAAAAAGTCCATTGGTCATTCGAAAAAAGRWTACTCTTAAATATGGTCATTTGAAAAAAGGATACTCTTAAATATGGTCATTCGAAAAAAGATTACTCTTAAATACGGTCATTTGAAAAAAGGATACCCTTAAATACGGTCATTTGAAAAAAGGATACCCTTAAATATGGTCCAGGATACTCTTAAATATGGTCAAGGATACTCTTAAATAAGGTCATTTGAAAACGAGACGTGGTTGAGTGAAACTTCATGAAAGCATAGGAAACCATTGCAATATCAAACATTTCATACTACTGCTTTAGCTGATTCTAAATAGACTAATAAACTAATAATTGTTCTCTACATTCTGCAAATTTTTTTTACCTTGAATGTTTAATGTTTCGTAGAAAACACAAACTTCTTCGTTTCGTTCTATGAGCTTAATTCCCCTAGACGAAAGAAACGAAAAAATAAGACAAAACATCCTGACAGTAAAGCTATGGACACACGCTGCAACATTGCGTGCAATACTACAGGCAATCAATGTTGTGAGGCATGTCTCACGACGCAATTGGTTGCACGCAATGTTGCTGAAGTAGGATGCGATCCAACTCCAGCAGCATTGCCTACAATATTGCGCGCAATGATGCATCTTGTGTCCGAGCCTTAGCCAACTCTCAAGAATCAATAATTGATATATTTGACTGGTGTGTTAAAAAAAATGTGAAGAGTTCTTACATGTCGTTTCGTTCTTGGACGCTTCCCTCATATCGTTTACGTAACTGAACCATATTCTCCTCAGCTTTGTTGATAAGTTCGTTAAGCTTGGCGATATCAAGACGCTGGTAAAAAATTAAGTACAAAAGTTTAGTTTCAAAATTTATAAGTGTGGCCGTAAAACTCGTACATACAAAAATCGAACAAAGGATATTGGAAAATATTGTTGCGCTTGACTTACAAGTTGTTCACGTTTATCTCTGTTATCTTCGTCCACTCTCGACTGCTTGCTCTCCTCATTTCGTAAACTATCTCGTATGACAACAGCGTTATTTCTCTTGAGACGAGCTTTCTGCAAAAGTCTGTTGGGGAAACAAAACCATGCAAAAAATGAGCAAAACTTAGTCCCTTATTTTTTCCTTTGAAAATAAAGTACTTCAAACTTGAAGTACCTGTCTTTTGCGTTGACTTTCGATCGTAGAATCTCTATTTCATTTTGTAGGATTTTAATCTTCTCTCGCATTTCTGCAGCTTTCTGTTACGAGAGAATATAGAATAAAGATTATTCCCTTGACATCTAACTAAACCTTTCTATCAGCATGGAGTTCTTGCTTCCTTGTACAATCTATACTCACTTGAGTGCTGGTTTGAATCAGGTTCACGCACTTGTTTCTCTCATTCTTGATGACGTCGTAGAGCTTGGCAAAATCTGACAACCTGTGTTTTACAGTAGGGTATTAAGTGAGAAAATATTTGGGAAACTTGTGGTATATCTTTTAAATTATCCCAACTAAACTTCGAAAACAGAAGCTTAGACTCTTGATTTGGAAATGACTCTTGCGGCAAGTGTTTTTGTAATTTCTATTATCAAAGTGTACTATTACTGATGCCGTACTATACTCCACTACAGTAGTTCCCAAAGCCCTTGTCTCCGGCGTCGAAATCTTCATCAGGATTTGAAAACGCTACAAATGATGCCGTTATGAAATAACTAACCCTGAAGAAGGCCGAGCCCGTCATCTTCTCAATAGGCCGATGTGCGGAGTCATGGTTGCGACAAAGTAGGTTTTGGTGGACGTCAATAGGCACGTTACCTTAATCACTTCGGGTATTTTCCCACAATGTCAGGAAAACACTTTGATTGACGTCCACCAAAACCCTATTTTGTCGCGACAGGAAAATTATACGACTTTGCGCGAGTGATTTAGAAGCACTGTAAGTATCGTCACCTTGATAGGTTCTAGATAAGTTATTATTCCTTGTCAATTAATTTATTATTGTTATATTTTAAGACGTTCATATTCAGTACTTACTTGTGTTGCATCTCTGCATACTTCTTTGCACTGTCTTGGATATTCAGGTTCTTTGTCTTCAGGTCTTCCAATGCTCGCTGATACCTCAACTAAAGTTCATGAGCATGTATTAGAATTTGTCCTTAAAATCATTAGACAGGAATACATATATATATATATATATATGAATGGCATTTAACTCCTCTGTTACGAAGCTGTCTCTCATCGCTGTCAGGAGCCGCACATTTGATTTTGACTGACCTGGCCGCAGGCATATGAGATAAGTTGATTTGATGCAGTTCTCCGGTTTTCCTCTTTCCATAAAAATTAACATGTGTGTTGTGTGTTATAAATAATGAATGTAGTGGTGCTTCGTGTGGAGCAAAACTCATGGAAGAGTCCCTTATAGGGAGCTTTTTATACCCACCTCAGCTCTCATGTAATCCCTGGCTTTCTGTTCTCTTTCATCAGCCTGGAAGTAGAAGGCAATATTTGTCAAAGATATGCAAGTCATAATCTGCAATTGCAAGCTATGCTAAATAGTTGGAGATGATGTTTCAGATATTGCAGCACTTGTTAACCYTTTAAATCAATCATGCAGGGAAGGATTGCTCAGTCTTCTGTAGCCACGCCAGATGGCTCATCATCGAATTAAAGTTTAAAAGCCAATTTTTGCAGAGGAAGGAAAACATATAGCTTAATTAAAAAATAGAAGACAAAAAGAGGTAACTGTAAACTGTATGATGAATGGGCACACAACCTTATTGATCTTACCTTGATTTGTGCAAGTCGTGTGAGGTCAATAACATCCACTCGCAGTTCACTCTGTTCCATGAGCAATCTTTCTTCTTCATTGATCATGTGTTCCACTCTTACTCTCTCCCTGGCTGTCAATGCATTCTAGACAAATAACAGATTAAAATATCAATATTGTACAACTTTTACATTTCATCGCACATAATTTCACATGTGCAGCTGTTTTGCACAACAATGAAAGAAATCACTGTCTTTAGCCATACCTGTTGAGCAAGAGTTCTTTTAGTAGCAATGACTTCACGTTGCAGTTCTTTTCTTTTTTCCGTAAGAGTACCATCATCCCTTGGACGACTATCCACTTGACCTTTGACCTTGTCATAGACAGACTTCACATGGGAAAGGGATTCTTCAGCAACTTTAAGTTGTAACTCACTTTTCTTTAGGGATCTGGTTTTAAGAAAAGATATTGGAAATGCCTTAGTATCAATACTAAAAAGCATCAAGCAAGATCTACACGAGGTAGGGAAGCACCACAGAGTAGTGTGCACTGCTTATGCACAAGCTGCTGATGACGATGTCTGATGTCTTAGTCTGCTTCGAAGGTGTCATGACCTTATCATAGTGAGGCAGTGTCTCTATAAACCCAAGAGCTACGTTGGCTGGAGTCTTGTACTCCTGTTAGGGTCCCCCATGCTGAACAGGTTGAAGGGAAAAGACCAAAAAAACAGTGATCCACTGGTCCTTCAGGTTGGGGGCTAGACGAAGGGCTAATTATCCCACCCTGAAAAAAGTGAGAATTCACAGAAACCAAATGGCCTTATTCACCCTTAGGCGTGAGGAGTGATAATGATTATGATGATGTCTGAGTGTGACAGTGTTAAACAAATCAAGTCATTTCCATACTTGAGATCTCTTTCCTTTTCTCTTAGTTTCCTTGCATGAAGATCATGTTGAACCTTTTTCTCTATAGCTGCATGCTTGAGATTTAAGTCCAATGTGCCTCGATCACCTATGAACTCTGACTGTCTCTCCTTGGCTAGTTCATATTCTTTCATTATTAAGTCAACCTCTCTCTCCTATTTAAAACCAGTAATGCAGGTAATTTTAGTCCGTATTTTATAAAACAACTACAAGAATGCTTGGTAATTGCTTGCTCATGAGGATTGACATGCTTGTTCAAACACTTCTCTCAGTGTTTTGCTAATTGTTCTGTATTCTTTATAGCTGTATACATGGACATTTCTTAATCTCTTTCTAAGATTGTTCTTTGCTTACCTTTCCTTCATAGCTGTGTCTTTGTTTGTCTAATGCTTCTGAGAGCTCAACTTTTTCATCCTCCAAGTATGTCCTTCGGCCTTCTATTCTCTGCAACTGATTATCAACAATAGAAAGATTATTGAAATATCTGGTTGTCTAATAACGATATATCTACAGGTATTTACTGACATGCTAACTAGAGATCAAATAATTAGTCAAACAAAAAACAATGACATGACTACTGATTCCAATGATAACAAATAAAATTAAAGTTTTACCTCCTTTACTACTTCTTCAAGTTCTCCATCAAGTTTGCTTCTTTTTTCCTCCGCATCCCTGAAAGATGAATGCATGCACTAAGTAAACCAAACATGCTCTTCACCACACAAAAATAGCTCTGATTGAAGTAAGATTTACTCACTTGAATTGTCTTGAAATAAGGTCTGTCTGTTTAGCAATATGTGCAGGTTGTGAATGGACTTGAACAAGCTTATCCTAAAAGAGATTTGTGTCAAGTATTGTTTTTAATGTTAAAATACAATTATTAACAGACATGAGACATAATGATGATATGATGATAGCATCTCCAACTCAATATTTCAGAGTAATACATGCAATAAAACAAAGTAATCATGATGGTAATTTGAATTGTTGGGATTCAATAAAAGTTTTTGAATCTCATTATCTGCTCCAAACTGGCTTCACCACCACGAGCTGTCAACCAGTAATAATGCTATTGAAAACTCAAAATTCAGCTGAATTCAGAACATTCTGCATGACACAGAAAATGATTTCAAGTGAATCCCTAATAGAATGTGTGATCCAGTTGGCAAAAATTCGATCTGCCATGATCTGCTGAGTATCATTATGCAAAATGTACATAATATACATGTATTGTAAATCATGTTTATAAACCCAGACTTACCCTCAGACTCTGTTGGTTCTCCAAGTCTTCATCAATCTCTTTTTTAATACCACTTATTTTCACATCCCTATTTTCTAACTCTTCTTTCAATCCTTTGGTTTCCACTGTCCTTTGAGCAATTTCTTTCTTTAACTCATCTATGGATTTCTGTAACTCCTTTTGCTGTTTCTCAATTTCCCCTGGTTTTGGCATACGAGAATACTCTCTTTCTAACATCATCTTTTCTTCTTTTAGTCCTTCTAGTTTAAATTCTAGCTGATATTGTCTTTCATCAGCCTGTGCAAGTTCATTGTGGTACTTCAGAAGTTCTTGTCTTAGTTTGTTTACTTCTGTGTTATCTCCGTCAGGAAAGTTGTCCCCCTTCTCCAACTCAGCCCGTTGTCGTTGCACTTCTTGGTGCATCTCTTTAGCTTGATGTAGGAAGGCTGTTTCTTGCTCCCTTGTTGATTTGAGCCTTTCATGTAGACTAGTGTACTTGGCTTTCAGTTTCGCTACTTTTTCACCTGCAATTTTGCCCTCGAAAAACAGCTGTGAAGAGATATAAAAATATCTACATCAATAAAGTAAACTTCATGGGTTACGTTAACTTTTTTGACAAACAAAGCTATAAAGTTATTGTTTCTGTGTTGATGATTTAGCATTGGAGATCGTAAACTATAAATCATTTATCTACTGTACCTCATCTAGACATTGAAAAGCAGGACTAGCAGACACATCAACTGGTCCCTGTTCTTGATGAAGTCTTGGCGCTACTGCCCAAATAGCGGGCTCGATCTCTTGATTTTCAGTGCCTCGCTCTTCATTGTCACTCATATTGAATAGATATTACTAAATGAAAACGATATGAAAAATAAAAAGAGACTTGATCGAGGATTTTAGCTTCTGTTGAACATTATATTACGACTGGATTCAAAATGGCTTCCATGAAAATAATGCGTCGCTAAGCAACAAACCTTACAGCACCCACAGGTAGCCCAAATCTATATCTCAGACCAAACCTTTTCTTATTTACAAAGCACAATGTTAATTTTTTAAAATTTTTTTTCACTTCAATTCAATTTTCCAAACCGTAAAAAATTCTTGGTAAAAAATGTAAAGAGAAGTGATCATTCAGGAAGAAAGTACACACTTGGGCTAGCTGTGGAATACCCACAATGCATAAAAATTCGCACAAATCCGGAAGTGAATTCTTCTAAACATGGCGGCAGTTTTGTTTCTGTCTTGATAAAGATGGTTGAATTGAACAGAGATTTTAGCTTCAAGGAGCAAGTATTTCCTTTAATAATTCAAAACAGATCTCACTACCGTGGAAATGAAGACAACAGCGTTTCGGGTAAAGCTGTATGGCTATATTTTTTTGTTGTTGGTCAAATCACATGACAATCAAGATGTTTTCAGACACCTTGAAGACGAATTAATCTTAGACTTTTGTTATCCAAAAAGAACCAGTCATTTCCCGTAATAATGTCATTTTTTTGTCAAATGTTGCCGCAGCTACATATATAGTTCCATACATCAACACCTCAGCTTAACAATTTTGTATCACCATTTCATAGAGGGCAAACCATATGTCCGTGAAATGCAAAATAGCACAACTTTTAAAACAATTGACAGCAAAAGAACTAAATATGTTTAGTACTATTCTTAGTTTTTGTACTATTTCTTGGAAATAATATGGTTTGCACTCTAATATTTATACTTATTTTGCAAGGGCCAGCTGTTGTATAAATATTTCATTGCCATCTTTACAGAGGCTGATTATGACACCTTGAAAGAACAAATCCAAGCTCATGTGGTTGGGCAGGAAAAAGATGGCACTGTATTAGTAGCATGGGATGATAAAAGCCCTAATGTAAGCACATTTGACTTTTATGGGTGAATGAATCTGAATCCTTTTTTCCTAGAAGACAGGTATTGAAGGTTTTTTCTTTGCTTTGGCATAGGGTACGCATAAAGTTTCATATGTTGCAGAGTATGAGGCATCAAAACAGAAATTAAAGGTTAGCCTAACAGAATATTATGGATTGAAAATTTATTGCATTTTTAAATTAGGGGTTGAAATTTTTGGTTTGATTGGTATTGCATTGTGTTATTGAAGAAAAAGAAAAATTGTCTGATGCTGTGTGCAGTTATAAAGCATGCAGGGGTTGGGAAAACTTGAGAGAAGTGTTAGGGGAAGCACGACGCATAGAGGAGTGCTTCTCGACAATTCTCGAGTGTTCTGCCAATCTACTAGTGCTTTATAATTCCATACAGCATAGCCAGCAAGTTTTTTATGTAATAGATAAAATACGATAACCTATTTCAGATGGTAATAAYGCAACTGAAAATGAGGGCCCCTTCTAGTGTGCTCCCAACCAATAAGAACAGAAGATTTATAACAGTTATTTTATAATTGTTTATGGCGTTATTTGTGATACTTATTTTGGGGGAGGGGGAAGGGAGTAAAGAAAATTTAAACAGGGGAGGGGGGTAAAAATAAATTTGCACCGGGGGGGGTTAAAAATTTAGCACCACACTCAGATACGTTATGAGTTTTCAATAATTGTTTGCTATTGAGAAGAAATCATATTGTTATTTCAGGTACTGTTTATTCATGACAAAAAGGTCAAAATAATCGGAGCATCAGTTAATCAAGAAAAAACTTTGTTGGGTAAGTCATGAGGCAATTAATTTCTATCTACAAGAGTATCCATCCTAAATCTGTTGTAGTTTGATGTCTGAATTACTGAGAGGTTAAAGCACACTATAATTTATGTTCATTTGAGCTTAGTGAATTAGAACGTAGCAGAGTTTTGTATGCATTTTTTGTCACCATGCRTTGCTTGGGCTCCCTGTGGTAGCRTCCTACATTCAGTATTCTCTACAGTCATGTGTTTTCAACTTGGCAAATCCAGTTTTTAACATGCTACATATTATTTTGTTTCAGCTTTCACTACTACTGAACCATTTTATGGCTCACTTGAAGATCCACCCGGAACAGAACACCCAGGTAAAATGTGCTTGTTACCCAGCTATAAGGCCTGTGACCTCCTCATAAGATCTGCCACTGCTATTACACATGTTTTTTTTGTTTTTATTTTTCAATATTCAAATATTTCTAATTATCCATTTATGCTAAACATCCACAAGCAATACGATTCATATTATTTTGTAGCTATTAGCTAATTTTTTACTAGACCAGCACTTGATTTGAAAATACTTACAGTGTATCAAATATTGGACAGATTTTCTAATTAATATCTTAATAGTCTGTTTTTAAATTCTTTCAGGAATATACAAATCATTTCTCRCAGAAATTCGACCTCAAAACAGAATATTTTCATTGTGTGTTGAAAGACATACATTCCAACGAGTACAGGTAGTGTGATAGTCTATGTAATGTGTTCAATACTAAATTAATGTTGGAGTCCTGTTATCTCTAGTTAGCCTAGGGAAAAAGGTCTGAAATAACTGTAGGGGCTCAATATATCCAGCATAAATTATTCATATGATATTATCATGATGCAAGTACATTGTAGTGTAACATGGACTCAAGTTCAAGAAAACAGAGAGTTTGTCGTTATTTGTTTTAAAGGAGATATGCATGGTCATTGAAATAGTCAAACAATCACTTACAGAAATGTCCCTTTTATGAGGAATGGTCTTTTAATGTTAAAATCTCATTATTTCACAATTCTTTATAGTTTCTCTATGGCATCTATTTGGGCTATGGAAATACATCTAAAAAGGAATCACATATGCTCTTTTTCCATCACAAAAAAGGTAATTTTAAAATTAATGAATATTTTTGGGACACTGGGCAATATAAACTTCTTTCCTTTCCTCTTTTCAGTCTTTTTTTTTCTTGCTTTCTTTCCTTTCATACTTCCCTTCCCTTCCAAATTTCATCCCTTCCTTTTTCTTCCTTCCCTTGCTTTATTAATGGATTCCCTTCCTTCCCTCCTTCCTTCC